GCCCCGCCCGGGTCCTGCGCAGCCGCGCCCCGCGCCTGTAGCTGTCTGCCTGGCGGTTCCGCTGCGGTTCCGAACCTTGCGCCAGGAGCTCTCCTCCCGAAGGTTCCGATCCCGCCTCCAGGAGCTGTCCGCCGGGCAGTTCCGATTCCCCCTCCCCACGTCCCGGAGCGGTCCTCCCGGCTGTTCGAAAACCTCTCCGGGAGCTGTCCTCCGGGCAGTGCTGAACGCCAAGTAGCTCACACGCTCCAGGCAAGCAGGACCGAAGCTGTGCCGTGAACCTCGGGCTGCAGGGTTCTGGAACTCGTCCGGGGAGCAGTGGCTTTGCCAGGCCTTTTCTGGGGCAGACACCAACGTAGTCTCCTTCAAGACCCCCCGTAATTTGAGAGTTGCAGCGCTGGAGTTAGCTAGTCATTCCTCACCATCTTTGACGTTTGACACCTGTACTTAAAATACCGATGACTTCCTAAATATTGATCACTCCATCACCTGTACTCCAACATCTCTTTGCACACAGACTGAATACATTCATCTCTTAAAACGTGGTACAGTCGCCAGAGCTTCAGCACTTTGAACAATGGAACACAGATTCCCTCCTTCCCAGCAGGGACTTGGGTGGTGAAGACTATCTAGTCTTCTTATCTCCTCTCCCTCCATAAATAGTGCAATAAGTCACATTAATGGTAATTGGGTCATAAAGTCACTTTCACTCTAAAACAATATAAATACATGAAGATGTGAAGTGCTTATAAATCCTACTGGGTATAACTAAATGATAATCATGCAAAATGGAAGGACGTGTTGCTGTTTCTAAGCATTCATAAAGAACAAAGATACTGGAACCATTCTGCCAGCACATGAGTCAGCTACACTGGGGGCAGAACCAACACTCATAACTTCTCTTCTTTAGCCCCTGCCCTTCCTCCTCCAATCCAGGGTCTCTGCACAGGCATAAACTTATGGTGCTCACTAGCAAACAATATATAAAAAGGAAGGGATTCACAAAACATTCTTGCTATATGGATTGGCTGATAAACAAAGAAGTGTTTGCAAAGCATTCCAACTCCATTGGAAGAATTAGGCCACAGAAAAGCGTGGGTTTCTAGTATGTCTGTGTACAGTTTTGAACAGCCTGAAGCTTTTGATATGGGTGTAAGTAATCAGACTTCATTAGAAGTGGTCATGGTGAATCATGGGTTAAAGATGCAAGGAGCAAAATAAGATTCCCTAGCTCAAGCTCAAACCGTAATTAAGAATTATGTAAGACTCCTACAAGATCTTGTATATTCTATTAAAATAATGAAATGGAAAAAATTAAGTGGAATCATAGGAATAGAATCTATAGGAAAGAATTCCTTTTTTTTTCAGTTAAAATATGAAAACGTCAGCAGCTAGTGTGAGTCTGTGGTTTTGAAACAATGGGTTGCTTTGCTACCTGTAGAAAGCACAGAACAAAGCAATAACAGCTACAAGATGGGTTCAGTCTTTCCTTGTCCATAATTTGCATCTTTATGGAACTAATCCAGAGAAAATGATAGTGTCTTTGTGTTTTCTAGACTCCCAGGGCCTTTAGCTCACACAGTATACCATGTTGAGAAGCAGGTTGTAAGGCCACAAAAGAAACACTGAGAAATCAAATGGTTACCCGAAAGCTTGCCAATAATTTTTTTTTTTTTGTACCAGGACACAAACTTGGGTCCTTGCACTTTCAAGGCAAGACTGTGGAACCACTGGGCTAAATCCCAGGCCCTTGCCCATAAAAATTTGATGACTGCTTCAGTTTAAAGTCAAGTGTTTAACATGTTCCCTTAAGCAAGTGTTTCAAAAAAATTTTTTTAAAAATTGCCAGCCTTTGAAGATAAGTGACTGACTCTCATTTTGAGAGAAAGAGGGGAGGGAAGAAAAACAAAGTAGCAAACCAAAAAAATTTTTTTCATCTGCCTAGAATCCGCCTGCTTGATGATTTCATTATCACTCTGCATCATTAACTTTTAGCATTAACATTATTTGGGATGATTACTATAGAACTCAAATCTCTCTTAGCTTTGAGTCCTTTGAAAATATCTTCCATATAATTTAACTCCAAAATATAACTAAGTAGTTTCAGATTAATATTGAGTTTTGGGTTTATGGTTTTCCCAAAGAGCTCCAGGAAGTAAAACTAACCCATTTTCACAGTAAACTCTTTAGTTTTTGTTAAACCAAAGGTTCATGCTTTTTTGTAACTGGGGCTAATTACTATTTGTCATTGAGTCTGAGCCTCCTTTTTTATACATCACTAAGACAGAAAAAATGCTACCATAGAAAACTATGATACAATACTTTCTTTTCACTTCTAACCCCAATTTAAATTTACTGAAGATGTTTTTGACAAATATTTGGACAGATTTCTATCATGTACCACTAATACATACATAAAGATAAAAATTTAAATTAAAGTAACTAGCTAAAGTTTTCCTATAGGTAGAGTTTCACCATTCTTATTTGCTTTTTAACAGAGTTGTGGATTCCTGGTTTTTCCCATGATACACTGCTTGGAACCATCCAGAGCTAATACGAAAGTGCTCCTCCCTCATCCAGGCTGCTGACCCCATTCTGCAAGCGTTACTGCTGGTGTTTTGTTGATTTTGTTTTACCTAATTGGAGGTTTTCATTCAATAACCAGATTCGTGTTCCTTATGTAAACGATGCTCGTGATATAGAAAAAAATATAACCCCCAACCTGTTAGATGAGAAATGAAGTCAGGAACCAAAGGAAGAAGTTAGGAAAGTTTCATTGGAAATAAGGAGAAAGGAAAGAAGAGTAGCTCTTGGATTTCCAGGAGAGGTCCCAAGTGGGTGGCCACCAAAACCATTTGTCAGGGGTAATTTATAAGCAAAGTCACAATGTGGGTGAAACTACAATCAAACCTACAGGATTATAAATACAGCTACATAACTAATATTAATCAAATAGGAAGACAAGTCACCTAGCAAAGGTATATGGAAAGAACAAAGGAATTTTGAGGAATGGAGGGGACTATTGGTCTAGATGTTCTGGTCAGTCACCCACCTAAGCACTTTTGCCTAGCTGGGCCCACTGGACAGGTGGTGCTAATTATGGTATAATATCAAGTTGCTGTTCATCTTGCAGGGCTGGCTATTGTATCTGCCTCCTGAGGCCTTCAGATTGGTTCTCTTCAGATTGGCCTCCAGCCATAATTTTGATGTCTCTAATTTTTGTGCTGACTTCTTTGAGGGCCCAATCCTGCTCTGACTATATATTAATATCTATCTAACTTGGCTTTCTATAATATTTAGAAGACCTTGACATACAGAGGGGCATAAGAGGCTAGTAGGCCATAGGTATAGCAGTTGAATAGAGTTGGACCTTTGCTCTGATCCCTGCACAGACTGTCACTTGCTGTGCACTGGTTACACAACCATTCCTGATGATGAGGCAGAAGAGAAGGGCCTAGAACTCCTCTAAGAGATACTGTTTGCAGTATTTCTTCTATCAATGGTGGAGGAACCAAGTTCCTTGGAGCTAGCCTGGTTACATTCCCACCGCCCACCCACGGCCACTCTGGGAGACATTTGTTTTGGCTGCAGCAGGCTTTGGTCACCACTATGAGTTCTAGGCAGATTCTACCCTGGGACGTCTTCCGGAGACAGCACCTCTCCACTGCTCTCCTCACACAGGTCCATGTTGGCACTCTCCTCTACCCGTGACCAAATGGAAAGTCTGACACTGCTCACACCTTGAGCCCACTTTGTATTTGTTTCCAGTGGATGCAAAAACCACACACTCCCTTCCTTAGCAAGTCAGTCCATGCACTTTTCCCCCTCATTCCTGCTGCAGCCTGAGATTTTTGTTTTGTTTTGTTTGGTACCAGGGATTGAACTCGGGACTTTGTGCTTATGTGGTAGGCAGCAGCTGCAGCATGAGCTCTAATACATCTTTCTTGAGTGGCATCCCTTTTGCCCATTCATGATTTTAACCTCAAAGACAGCAGGCTGACTGGGTAGGTAACCTAAAATCTGCTAAGACTAAAGGCTGCTGGTGCTGAAAGTGACCTGGTAACACTGAAGACAATCGGCACTCAGAAACTGACAGCAATTAAAAACAGCTAAAAGCCACCATCTCCAGTGGCCAGGAGTTTTAGGTGCCTCCTGGTAGCTGCTGGCTCCAAGTGGCAAGGAGGTTCCCTAACACTAAGAGCTGATAGCCAATAGCATTCAAAGCTCAGGG